CAATATTTATGTACAAATGTGCAATAAGTATTAGTTTGTGGATTTTATTTATTCTTTCTTTGCTTTAAATTAAACTCAATGTTCCAATGAACGGTAAGTATCAATCTTTTTTATTATATGAGACATTGACTACACTCATCCGCGATGAATGCAACCGATCTACCAGAAAAATCAACCATATGATCGTGATTTTCGATTGAAATCACGAAGAAATCAGTGAAACCGTTGATCATCATACGATTTCGACCCTACTGTACGCATAGCTACCCCTGTATTACTGGGCCCATCAAAACACTTGAATATCGGGGTATAATGGACCTTACTACCGTATGCTACCGGAAATGAAGCGTTTTATCAGCATAAACTGTCGTAGACGATATCGTAATGAATCATGCTTTGATAGACCGGGGGATGTTTGACAAATATATTCATAAGAGTTCATGAATGAAACGTTTTCACAACTTTTGAATTGTAGTGTTAGATTCAGTACGAGATACATGAAAACAGGCTTAACAATCAATATTCCAGCTACCCACTGTGATACTCAAATGACAAGCAGTAGGAATTATATTGTGGATAGCGAAGGGCTTAAAATCTGCAGGTTAGAACACAAGCTGCTCTAATGAAACACCTGCGTATATATAAAATATAGATACCGTTTTCATTGATAGATTGTAGCATATATTTGTAACTATTACACAATTGCATCGTGATGTATGCTCCATTGGCAATTCTTTTCATCGTTGTCTTTATGATAATGGGCAACGTTGGAGCCGTTTACAATATGTTCGAATTCACTGATTGTGGCTCCACCGCTCTTGTCATTCATCATATTGATGTTAAACCAATGCCTATCCATATCTCGGACATTGCCAATATATCATTGGCGGCGACTTGAAGCGGCCCATAAGCAAGTGATGTATGTATGAGAAGATGAATATAAGTAACAATTGATTCTCACACAGCCACGTTTGAAATGTCTTTTGATATGAATCACACGGTTGGCGGCGTTACACTTCTCGTTAAATGCTATGTCATGAATGGCATACCGCTTGGTTCATGCAATTATGTCGGCGATCGTCTGTGTCAATTCACGAATTACTCATTGCTGGAAAACATCAGATGAGTTATTCGGATATTATTCTGACTTCCTTTTTTTCTATACGTATGTGTAGAATCACAAAGAATCGCCTATTTTTGAATTGTTCAAGTTTCCACATAATGTTACCTGTCTTTAATCTTCTCGGTCTCAACAGAAAATGCCCTGCAACTACAGTGCCGATTCAAGAAGTCGAGCTTCATCATCAGATGTTTGATATGATTGAGCCTACATCGATAGTATTCGTCCTTTTGCAACCTGGCGACTTTTCTCTCAAGTTGACGGCCTATGAGCGAGATACACCACGTGAGCAACCTCTCTTCTGTGGTAAATTCAAATTCACGGTCAAGAAACCGAAAAATGCCCATAAATAGATGGATGGTTTAATACATAAGCGAACAGAAATGCTGTTGTAATGTTTGGTTTGCAAATGTATTTGGAAAATAAAACGATTTCTCTAAATTGCTTTAGATGACACTTTTTACTCGCACACATTACAGCTCATGAGATAAGAAACTAGCATTATTTGACAATGGGAAAAGTTATATTGCTTATCAGAAACGAGAAATTTATTCGTCAGATCTTCATTTATGACTGCATTGATGGTGAGAGGAAGGGTGAAAGTCTTCTCATAATCCTCGCTATCACCTTCTCTGAATGACCTACGTCTAAAAAGTCTTTGCACGACATCTCTGGTCGATTTTACTGCACTTGTAGATCGCAGGACAAAAACAAAAGTAGTCAGCTAGAATGAGAATTTCATGCTCTTTCTGTACACATATTCACTTTTGAGCATTACCATTACTTATTAATAAATCTACTACTAGCTTCTGTATTGAAAGCAACATTCATTTGTACCGATCGTGAAACATTCTGTCAACGCCTTTGTCAGACTCTTCCTTTAGAAGCGTATGATACAGCTGTTAATTTCTTCGTGACCTTTGCCAACCGAGAGTATGATTTGAGTGCTTTTGAAATCTTGAAAAGTATAGTTTCTATCTACTGCCGAATATTCTCTTGTGTGTAGTCTACGTTTGCGTTATCACACATTGATAATCATGAAGAATTGTTTGTCTGTCATTTTCACTGTTTATCATAAAGGTCTATTATGTGTTTACAAGTGAAATTTAATAGTATTCGGCGACTCCAGTACAAATACAGATGATAATTTCACGAGATCGGATGCTTGCTAAATGAATAGAAATAAGAATAACCAGACTGTCTAGAGCTTTCGATATGTTGAAAAATGCAGTTTGCTATCGAAAAAAAAACATCTCAATTGGAGCTAAGTTGTGAATTTTTTGTGCATGCATCATACCAGTTGAAACATGCGTACTAACGGCTGCACATGAGCATAGGAACAGTGGGTCCTACACGAAGCATTTACAAATTAGTCTTGGCATAAATCTGAGTGATAGAATACTTAACCAAAAAAATATTAGAGTTCATCACCCTCACTACACAACCTCACGTTTTCTAATATTCTGGAGGATGTTTTATTTTGTTTTTTTTTTAACAGCTATACCAACATATGTTTGAAAGCTTCTAAGCAATCCGTTTGAATCGTTCAAAATTCTATTTGAAGACCAAGTGGTTTTCGTCCTTTTTTGCATTTTTCACGAACGATATTTCGATTTTTAATGACTTCTGATATAGCATAAGTTTCACCAAATGGTACTCCAATATGGGATTTTTTAACACAATCTTTAATGTATTCACCCACTAAATCCCAATCGTGTTGTGTTCCACATCCATGTCTATTGACGGCATTTTGAAGATCTTGAGCAATATGATAATCGGCCATAAGTTCTTGACATCGATACTTTCCAACAACAGGAATCACTGACCATTGATCAGACATTTTCTAATAACACTACTCCAATTTCCAGCTCGTTGAATATATGGTTCAACAAATGTATTAAGAACATTATCGAACCATGATGGATTTTCCAGTTTTTCTCTAGTCTTACAGGCAGTTTGGCCAATACACAATTGATTAATTGCAAAGCCATTGACAATATTATCATCTTTCAAGTTTTCTACTTCTTGTACCAAATCTTCAACCGCTTTATTACACAATATATCTATCAGAAAGAAAAATAAATACTCTTCGTTGGAAATTATCGTGAAATAGTCTTACCTCCGGCATTACATATCCAGCCACTCGGACATTTCTTATAGTAACCGGAGTAAGAGGTCGATTTATTAAAACATACCGTACCATCATCGCATGCTCTTGGATTTCCAGTGCATTCTCTTGCTAATGGTATACCATTGGCACATTCAAATAGAAGGAAATACGATATGATGATGAAAAATAATGACATTGCTTTCATCTACAGACTTCTAAATATTGATAAACTGATGTAAAAGCTATGACTGGTGATAGCATTGATATTAAATACAAGTCAATAATGATTGCAAAATCCTTTCTCGAAATATCAAATATCGATTTGGCTTATAAAGTATTTCAGATTTGCTCTGTATGACTCTTAACTAAATTCATTCTAATTGCATATTGCTTTTCTATGTGTGACTAGATTGATTTAAAAGATAAAATACAAAGATTAGCAAATCGATAACGACAGAACTACAATTGCAAACCAATCAGGTAAATACTGGAGCGAAAATAATAAAAAAATCAGAATATCGAAGAAAAAAGAAGGATTGATGAGAGAAAGACAGTGGATACTTTCAGAAAAAAGAATGGGTGACTGGGAATAAGAATGAAGCAGGTGAATGAGAAAGAGTATTAGAGCATTTCTCGGGAGTGAGGGTGGGTTAGGATGAGGATGCTGAGTGGAAGGATATGAGGGTTTTCGCTTCATCTTCGCCCCCAGCCTCATCCTTATTACGATAATCTCTATCGGAGCAACCATAAGTCGATGTAACACTGACAATATTTGGCGTTAAACAAATTGAATCACCAGAATGAGTCATTAAATCATTTGCACTGACACTTTTCTAAAACTTTAACCCTTTCGCGGCGATGTGGCCCACCGGTGGGCCACACTATATTCTAACATGAAACTATGTAGAAAAGCAAGTTCTTTTGCTTTTTTTGTTAGACTCGAGGTTAAACATAATTATGTCATCTACTCTGTCTTTGCTAATTTTTTGAGTCCTTTATTCTAGAGCATGATACTTCTTGTTAAAGCAGTCAAGTCAAAAAAAATTATCACAATCAGAGCGTGTGGATGTGGATGTGGGGTGCGAGTGTGTGATATCTCTTCAATTACACACACACCCGCACCCAATATCAACAAATTCAATTTGACTGGACACGTGATCAATTGACACAGTATGTTGGTAGTCCAGGAAAAGTTATACTGTCATCTTCTAATAATTCAGATACAATTCAAGTGCAATACCGAGGTTCATCATCTAATACAGTTGCTATAGCAGAGTTTGGCTTTGTAAATAGAATTTTGTTTACAAAGACACAATTGAAGTTCGATTTTATAACAAATTATAAGATAAGAAAAGAACAATATAACATGATTCAAATTGGATGGATATATCAGCAAATAAGAGCAGTGGTTGGAAATCAAAAGAAAAATATGATGTCAGAATTTAGTGTACGATGATATACATCAATGGTGGTTCAATATATTGGTATCAAAGAAGAAGGACAAAAAGTGGATGGTGTCATTACACTTGGATTTTCAGATGAGAACTTACTTACTAAATCAGAGTACAGATGGTTATAATATTCAAATAAACGGTCATCATGATTTTTTTTCTTCTTTTCACTTAATCAAGCATCCCTTTTTACGTTTTTTAAGAGATTTCTGTAATAATTAATCAAGAAATTTACTTCGTTGATAACAGTTATATCCTGAATGTTGATAAGAGAAAAAAAATCAAGTTCACTTTTTACTTTCTTGAGAACGGAAGATATGAATGACATGTCAAATTCTTATAATGACAACACTGTCAAGACTCACACGCACAGAATCTTGAAGGGAAAATAAGAGGATTCAGTTTAGACGTTTGCAAATTTGTATTTAGAATGCATTCAGAATTTGATTTTTCGGATCCTATCAAGATTTATAAGCAAGATTTGCAAATCTTTAGATCACAAAACAAATTTCAATATCAATGCGGAGTAATGTCTCAACAATGATAAATAGAAGAATTTTTCAAATTTTTTTGTATTTTTCGTTCAGAACCTGACAGAATGTAGAAGCCCTATTACCATTTTATCTTTATCATAGTTGGATCTTTATATAGAAAAATAGAGATTCTAACAAAATCTCAGAAGATCTCTTTCAAATGTTACAAAAGTTGGTATTGAACTTGTTTTAGAATGTAGGCAAGAAGCATCAGCTTTTTTTATGATTTTATCCTGAGAGAGAATTAGAAATATGATTGAATTAGGGTATCATTTCAGTTTTCTTATGATACTTTTTTTTGTCATCAAATAGATATTCTTAGTTAGAGACAAGTTATTGGGTGAAATCTATTCATAGTTAAGACTATGAGAAGAAAAAAATAGATTTTTAAGGGTATGAATGTATCTTACGCATGCATCCACACCCTGCTCACGCAGAATGCGACAAATGTCTAAATAATTGATCGATGAATAATAGTTGGTATAACTGACATCTCTTACAGATCTTTATGAAAAATCATCCTTCATATCAAAACAGAAAATCAGTACGAAAACATTTTATTAATAATATCAATTAAAGTAATTATATGAAAACAAATCTCATTTGAAAAATATCTTGTTCTTAACTATTTTAAATTGTAAATCTTTTTTGATATCGTTCGACCTTGACAATAGTTGAATACCGTGTCATCAATCATCATACCTATGATTCATCTTGTTTCGACTCATTTGCCTTGAAGTTCTTCGCATATTAGTCTCATTTTCTTAGTCTCTATCGATATAATTAGCATCACAAGGATGAAATCGAATTCAATGGATGATATAAGTGAAGAAGTAGTCGCGACAGACACGATGACCGTTCTTACATGATTCATCAGCATTGTGCGAGTTATCAGGGTCAAGTGGGGAAAAACACTAAAATTCTGTTTTGTTTAATTGAATCTAATAGATCTCATCGCTCTTGACAACATATTGCATTGCTAGACAAGCAAAGTTAATTAAAGAGAGAAAAGAAGGATTCAAACGAAGAGTAATATCTAATAATAACAAGACGGAATTGATAAGATACTTTAATATTACTTGTCAGTTGTCTGTTGACAACATTTTTTCATCCTTCTTGTTCTGTTGTTACTCATGGAACGAGAACTGTTTCATTTGGTATATCTAGAAAAGATCGACAACGATTCACTGCTAGAATTATTTCTATTTCTTTTCTTCACATACATAAGTTATTTGACAAAAGACAATCCACTTTGTACAACATGGGAATCTTGAAAGGTAAAGCTACGGCTTTAGAACATATTGAAAAGTCGAAATTGGCTTTTCTGGCAACATTATGCGAAGTGAAGAAAGGACCATCGGAGAATGCAATGCCACCCAAAGATCATTTCATTCTCAAGTTTGATCGAAATTCAATTCGAAATTTAAAAGGACGTGTCTACGAAACTATGAAACAATATACTTATGAACAACTAGGTTCGTTATTTCTTTATCATTCGAATATGATCTTATTTGGAATTCTATTGACAGGTGAAAGTATTCCTGCACTTTTCAATAGCAAGGAAACGGACAGTGGTCTCATCAATCCGACCAAACCACCAGTACCAATTGTCGGTCATCAATATGTCGCTTGCATTTATGATGATCTCAAACTAATCGATTGTTTGATTGAAATCGGTTGGAATGAAGTCGACGAACTAGTTAAAACCGCCAACGCTCGACGCAAATCCGTCGTCTAATCATTGCTTTTCTGCTTCATTCTCTGACTATTTTGTCTCTTTTGGTGCTCTCTTCAATTGCTTTTACTTTATATATTTATTAAATAAACAAAAATAAATAAACCAAGACCAATGATTACGACAAAAGATAATTAGCACTCAAATCGCATGGAAGATTGATATGCCGCTGTATTAGTCGTCGCCGCCGTCTTCACTCATGTTATTCTTGTTCATGTTGATTAGAACTAGACATTTTCATTTCAAAGCTGCGTACATACGGGTATAGCATGTACTGCTCCAGGATCTAGAATTCTATAATTCATGTACTCCGAATTCCAACTACATATATTGAATGTGTTATATATGGAGTGGGTGTGAGTGTGAATAGAGATGAGTTGACGTTCATATCCACACCAATAAAGTTTATCCTGATGTTTTCGGAATTTTTTCTCATATAAATAGAGAGATATTTGCTACTAAATTTGTAATTAATAGTCAGCTGAAAGAGTTAACATTTCTGCATGTCTATGCTAAAAGAACGTATTCAGAAAAATTACTCTTGTAAAGAATCAGAATCTGATGAAAGATAGGTATGTTCTGTTTTGCTTGAAATAGCTCTTATAAGAATGAAAATTGACCTACTGTATCAAGAGCAATTCCATGGACAACACGTTGAAACAACTTATAGTTATATTTTTTACCAAAAGAATATTATTTTTTTTACTGATAACGAGATTATCCCTATTAATACAATAAGTAATCTTTCAAGGAATTTTCAATAATAATAATCCACTTACATGATTCTTGTGGTACATAACAAAATGATCCATCAAAAGTAAAATTATATGCAAGTTGAAAAAGACAACAAACTTTTCCAGATCTACCAGGTCCAATAATACAGATTAAATCATCTGAATGAACATCGAATATAATATTTTTTAATGAAAATTTTTCCATTGTAAAATATACAATATTTATCATTTTAGTCAGAAGAAAACATAACAATATTTCTTTTTTTTCATTGAGCTTGTTTTAAAATGTATATAACTTGGAATGTTCGTTTCATTGAATTTTCAACAGTTTTATCTATTTTTACTATATCTTTAAAAAATGTTGATAACAATCGATTGTCTCATTTAGATTCATCAAATAAAAGAAATCCCTATAGGAAAAGTTTCATTTCAAACATGACGATCAAAAAATGAATCAATTCAAACTAGCTCGAATTCTTTTTTTGAGCAGTAATATAATTAAGAAGATCACGAATAGCGAAGCTAAAATAATTGATGCAAGATTAACGTCTATAATTAACTGGTACATATGAGAGAGTAAAAAGTCGTGTCTCAAATTTCATACCGAATGACTACATTGTTCCATAGATCATTAAAAATGTTCTACTGATATAATCATATGATAAGATCGTTTCAATACTGGTACACATCATAATAGAGTGATTTTAATCATTTCAAGTCTAAATATATCGACATTTATTGCATATGTGAGTAGGGTGTGGGTGTGTTGGTATCACTGTAAACAACAAAGTCACCGAAGCCTACACATACCGCAGTCACACCACACCCCACCACACCCACACCCACTTGAATGGAAAGTTTAATTTACAAATTATGTTTGTGAAAAATAATTATAAAACATGTTTAGTCTATTCACTATTATGGGACTCAAAGAACTAATGTAGAAATACGAAAGAAGGCAAACTCCGTTCGAATTTGGGACATGCACTCTATCACTCTTATACACACCACAGACATATGAGTTATGTAAATAAAAAAGTTCTCTTGCAGCATCAAGAGTATGGATGTTGATGTAGATGACATAGAATAACACACCCTGAATCTATACACCCACACCCTCTTTGGATATCAATGCAACCAATTCTTTTTTTAATCATTAATAACTGACATTAAAATAAAAAGAGATATTATTTTTTAATATATGAATGATATTTATTTTTTACAAGCACTTTTGTCAATCATAAACATTTGAATTCTATGATGCATCTCATCACTAACCCATAAATTTCCATTTTTATCAAATAATATTTGAGTTGGTCTCATTAATTGATCTTTTACATGATCCTCTTCTCCTTCTCCAATAATAACGATACCTGATTTACTATTTTTCAACCATCGCATTATTCTATTATTATCATAATCGACTACATAAAGATTATCTGATCGATCCACAATCACTGACAGTGGTTGATCAAACTGATCAAGATTATGTCCTGCACCATTTCCACCAGCTCTAATAACACCTTGTTTATCACCAATAATCCATTCTACAATTCTATTATTTCCTCCATCTGCTATAAATATTGATTTATTATTCTTAATAAAGAAATTATTCGGATATAATAATTGGTTTAATTGATCTCCTTCTCCATTTCCACCTGCAATAACTTCATTTTCTGGCCATCTTATTATTTTATGGTTACTTACGTCAGAATAGTATAATGAACCTTGATTATCAATATACATTCCAAAACATGTTGTATTTGATATAATTGTTTCTCCCTCACGAGCATTTTTCTCCCATTTTTGTATTCTATGATTTCCACTATCACAAATAAACATTGTTCCATTTTTAGCAATAGTTACACTATTAGGATAACGAAGTTGATCACTTCGATTACCTAAATCATTTCCACCAGCTACTAATTGACCAACTGAAGATCCATAATTCCATTTAACAATTCGATGATTAAATGAATCTGTAACATAAAGATTTGAATCATCATCTAAAAATATTCCAAATGGATATTGAAGTTGATTTAATTGAGATCCAGATTTATTTCCTCCTGCCATTGTTATACCAGTAGTATTCCATTTAGCATTTTCACAAATTCCATCGTCGGGTATTGGAGATATACCTATGCAACAAAAAACAAATATAATTTTATTATTAATTAATTATGTGTAAATACTTGTTGAAAGTATTAATGGACATATTAATTGAGTTGTCATTTTCATTGGATAACATAATGGACCGTTTTGACATCGAGGATGTTTTACACAAGTATATCCTGGTTGATAACATGTTTTATTATCTCCAGCACATGATGATAACTCAGAACAAGTAACATATAGATATGCACAAATAAAACTTTTATTATTGTAACTGAGAGGAAGACAACCACATCCAGTATTTAATGAACATTTTTCATATGGTAAACTATTATCACATATTTCCTCACCATCAATTCGATCTAATATTTAACGATTAAATATTATTAATCAGATATAAAGTAAAAAAAATTGACTAACCTAATAAACCAAAACTAATTAGAAAGAAAAGGATTAGCTTAATAAGTAATGAAAAAATTGCCATACCTGACAATGAAAATTAGAAAAACATAAATTGTCGACATCATTTTCATTTCTTACCATTTTTATTCTTTTTCAAGCATATATATAATGAGAATAAAAACATCTGTTAAATCATCATGACAATGTAGAAAACTAGGACTCTTATTCCGTCTTCTGGACTATTCACCTTGTCAGATTTAATATTCGAAAGCACTCGAAGAATTATTTTTCTGTCAAATTTCTCTCTTTTGTTTTCGATCGTGTCATTTTTCTTCCCAATTGATCTCTCCGCGAAACACTGACGAGTTGTGGATTAGAACATCATACTTGCTCGCGTGCATTTTTGCTAACTCACATGTTTTCATTCTCATGGCCCGTCATTTCTACAGTCACTTGCTGCCTGTCTTACTTTTCTCTTCTTTAATTCGCTCTTATATCTATTTTCTCTCTTCGGTCTCTAAGTTGCCATTGTCGTTTTGCTGCCGAAGGAACCTTGTCAGTTATTATCTTTCTTATTTATTATGGTGAACGCAATTGCAGGTCTATGAATCCAACATAATAAAGATTTCAATCGAAAAGTAGCATAAGTTACTTATAAACAAATGTTTGTCTTGATTTTGTTTGTCCTAACTGATTCAATGTTGATTACTAATTGAGATCTTTTAATTCTAATTAGCAAATAAATGAATAGCTTCTTTCATTTGAACTTAAAGATGGGTGTGGGTGTTGTTGTAGTCCAATACGGTGTCCATCCACCCACACCCACACACTTCTTGGCAATTTTACAGAACACAGCTAGAACCGATTGAGTATCAGTGAATCAGTCTGACCAAGAGATTAACATGACACGAAAATATCGAATCTGACGAGAATCAACTGATGAGATCTTGTATACGTGATTTTTTCTCTTAATCAAGCTTTGTCAAAAGTCCTGTTGAAAAATATGAAAACTACGAATACATATTTCATTGAATTATACAGGAAGAGAGTGCTAGAGATAAACAGGCATCGAATCGTATGGGACAAATTTTTCGGATCCATTTTTTAAGATTTTCAAGTACCAGGTATGCATCCGAACCGTCAATGGAAGCTCTACAAAACTACACAAGCCTCAAATTTTTAGATTTTAACTATTCAGGAGTCATAGGCAGTCTAGCCAAAAATTCTTTTTTTTTTGTATAAATTTGATTAAATAAAATTCAGAGAGCATCTTAGAAGAATTCATAATATAAAATTCAATACGTTTTCCTCTCCTTTCTATATTGTTTTTATCAAAAATGATTCAAAAAATATCTGCTCGTCTAGTGTTTTTTTGGAAATAAGCATTAGAAATGTTTCTGATTTCTGTAATAACAAAAAATTTGCTTCATTCATTTATTAAATTGCATTTATTTGAATGATCATACATTGAATTACTCATTTCGAACTGTGCTCTTCTTTTATATCTGATATTCTAATAAACGACAAATAGTTTGTTTGACAACCTACTCCTAGCGACTATATGAATCCCATTGTTTGTATTCCTCTCGTTTGAGGTAATGTTGATGTTTTTACAATAAGCATCTGTTTCTATTGAATGATTGAATTCAAAAATTCAATGATGTTGCAAGGAGAACCAGAATATAGTAATCATGAATCAATGGTGAAAATGTCTGACAACGATTTCGTAAACTACATCGATCAAGAACAATGATATGGTCATCACATCGGATCAATTTGAAGGATTAAAATGAGTTCAAACGATACAAGTTTGCTTTCTTCTAATAAACTGTGTTGGATTCGAAAAAATTCTTTTATCCTATAGATTGTTCAAGAAAAACAAAGAAGTAAAATATATTTGTTACATACACACTTTGAACAGTTATAAACAAACTAACAGAATTGTAGAGTTGATTTCCACCAATGATGACATTGTCCTTTCTGACTCCTTTAGATCAACGCATCGTTCAATGATTACTATAGTCGGTCACATAGGTATTAGAAGAAAAAAAGACCAATTCTTTGTTTCTAATTGAATTATTGTGATCATGATTTTATTCTATTTTTCGTATACTGATCTTGGTAAAATCCTTCGTTATCTACTCGTTTCTTATTCTCCTGTACACCTAAAAAACTATTAATGTAGTTTTACAATAAAATATGTATTTTTTCGTCAGAAGAACAACGTTCGTTCATGGCAAAGAAGCATGAGAACATGCACTTCATTATTAAAATAAAGAAATATTATATATATAATTGCTTCCCACGCTACGTCTGTCAAAATCTAAGACGAATCGTTGTCAAATACTCTTGCCCTCTACTTCAACACAATTTTTAGTCCGTGTCTCCCAATAATGGTATATGGAATAAATCTCAGTAAACTAGAAGTGTTAAATACATATGATCATTATAATAACAGAGATTGATATGCACTACTGTCTTTTTTGTTTCTTGAATCTAGTTAAAACCCTCTCAATTGAATAATCAGCAATATATATTGAGCATGTCTTTTTATTTTTATTAAGATAAAGTCGAAACGATTGGTTCAATAATTATCTATGATTGAATACAAATGTACGTAGTTTCTATTCCAGTTCATATTTAAGTGTCACAAACTGCTTGGCATTGTAAAATATTTAGTCACTTCAAAGATATTTATGTCATAGAAAACTTATTCATACGATCATTGACAATATTTCTTGTCATTCTTGAGATAAACATAAATCATAGTTTCAAATATAGATTTGTCAATAACTTCTGTTCAGAAATGGCTTTTCCATATTTGATTGTTTAACTCTTATTAATTTTAGAATTTAAAATAAAAAATACAAAATGTTTTATTTTCTTTGATGTCTTATAAATTTGAGAAAAAAGGAACATTTCAGTTTATGACAGTCAATAAATTTTCGATTTGAATATTGATTCTTATTGAACAAAAAAAATTATTCAGATGTTTTTTATTTAACATCCTGTTTGTACCCATGCAACCTCATAATAGTCGTCACAACAGACAGGTTCCAAAACATAATTTGGATCAATTATTGCGATTGAAGTATCTGGTACGAGAACCACGGCTAAATGTAAAAAATATGTACGTTTTTTTACTTGAAAATTTAGACACAAAAAACTATCATTTTTTTTTCTTACGTGGACTTTGAATTACTGTAACAAATTGATCAACTGGCGCACAAACCAGATCAGACACCAATAGATAACTAGACATATTGACGCACTGTAAACAATGTGAAACACTAATTTTAACTATACAAAATACGTCCTTTATGCATAGGTGATCAATAAAAAAACAACATTGTTTTTTTCTTTACATATTTCTAATAATATATATGCAGTGGTGGCCCGAACCAGCCAGAACGGAAAAAGAAAATATCACCTTTGATGAGAAAAAAATTACAAAAACACACACAATTTGGGGTATATTACAACCCTTTGGTCAGACTACCATCGTGTTTATGTCTTTGATCGATTCTTTCTTATCGAAGAAAAGAATGATTATTATTATAGCAACTGTGATAGGTGAAAAACATGTCAAGGTAATGTTTATAATCACATATGAAAAGAAGAAAAATGATCATATTGTGTTTTCTAATTGTAGATGATGATTCTTTCATTGATATACATAAATAGCAACCATTAAGTTTTTAGATAAAAAAATATATACGTAATTTGTAAAATTCTCATTATAACTTTTGTTTTAATCATCAACACATACAACTCAAAAGAATGTGAGATGGTTTCTTTTTTTCTGATCGATTAAAACGATGAACGATGTACAAACAAAAAAAAACAAGATCATACATAGATCATCAAGAAAAGAAAAAACTTTGATTCAAATCAGATATTGAATACGTCATTATTTATCGATAGGTATAATAGCAACGACTTAAATGAAAATCTGTATATATATTCGTTAGCAATTGTTAAGTTGAAATTATAAATAGAATTTTTTTGTTTTAATATCAATATTTTCATAATACATTCTTTTTTGCTATGGGTAAAATAACATTACTAAAAAAAAAGTATTCACTACTATTGTCATGCAGAAAATTTGTCGATTCTGTTTTTCCAACTATCGGATCAATCAATCGAGCATCTAAATAATCGAAAATAATGTATTTTGATCATCTTTTTGTATTATGAACTTCTCTTACGTTTTCATTAATATAAAGGAATTTCACAATACAATGAAGAATGGCATATGAAGTTGAAAAATACTATGGCAATGTTCTTAACTAACTAAAGAAGCAAGAAATCGTTGACAAATGAAGCATTGAAATATGATCGGTGATATATTCTATATCTGTATGAAATTAGAATGTGAACTAAACAATCTAGAATCAATAAGGTTATTTTTTACATGTAAATCATCAAATGTGGATAACTTTTAGAATTAATGCAATATTATCAGATGAATATTCTTCAATTTTCTGGTTAAAACATTTATGCTTGTAGAGAGTTATTCTAACATTTTGTTTTATTTGGTTTTTTCTTCAACTCAAGGTTAGACAATTTATACGATATGAGTATTATGTTAAACACTGACGAATATTCGTATTTATAGTATAAAGAATCTAAATATAATTTATGCCAATATGATACAGTGCGCGGCCAAAAAAGCATGTACATTTTTGTTTTTACGCATGGACGAATAATAAGGATACTCTGAAAATTTTCTTTCATATCAGACTTTGTAGAGCTTTTTTCGCTGATCATTTTGGTAAAAAAGTTTTTTGATTTTCATTGAGTAATGATGATGTTATAGTCAAAATACTAAACACTGTAATATAAAGTAGAAGACAAAAGTTTAGCACACTTTTAGTATTTGGCTAATTTTTACGTTATTTCACAACATCTGAAAAATGTTCTATATACCATTCGACGCAGAATTTAATGGGCTACATTTTTTTAACAAGCACTTATACTTTTATTGTAGTCAATTAATTAATTATTAGTTAATTATGAGTTAATAATAATTAGCAATTAATTAATAAAATTTTGATTTGTTTTTAAATTCTGACTCTTTCA